TGGACTCCTACTGATAAGAAAAGTGTTTAACAAGAAGATATCTCACTTTCTTGGCAGACAAAGGCCTTGAGGAGCCAGTAATTATTAGTGGAGATCTATATTTCTTGACTCACGAAGTAGGAAAAGTGCTTCTTTGATAGGATGATATCTCGTTTTCTTGGAAAGAGGAGATAGAGACTAACACAATAGCTACCCGTTGAAGAAGCACTTTCTACTTTTTAGGTCGTGGTGGTTCTACTAATCTAGAGCTTAGGCAGACTGTAGCCAAGTTGTAATCATCCTACCCTATAGACTAACACTAATATTCTTAAATTCCGATATATGAAACAGTTTAAACATGTCTGAACTCAAACTATTTTAAGTTGAGAGAAATAGTCAAGCCAAATCAAAAGCATATTTCATTTTGTTGCATTTTTGCAGTAATAATATGTCAAAATCAGCACAACTATCAATTTCAAACAATGAAAGGTTTGTACTTACCGGATGTCGAAAAGCACATGTTGGGTTAAGACAACTTCCAGCCACCCAGTACCAGCAATCCCTGGGATTGAGCCTTGCCATCTCACTATGTCGATATTCACATTCCATTCCCTGGAGCAAAAATCCATATCACAAAACCAGATTCTTAGATACAATACTTGAAATAATGAGACAAGACACACACAAACACAATTATACATGTCAGGAAAACCTGGAGTCAGGCACAATGACAATCACGAATGCACAGCTAACAAAAACACCTAAGATAACCAAAACAGGTATGGCATAATTAAAATAATAATATAAATGTTCATTGCATTGAGACCTACTACTCCGATTGTTGCTATTCCATCACCTCTAAACCATAATTGATTAGACTTGAACTGAAAAACTAAAACTATAATTATAGAAACAATTAAACACAATAATAACTTAAAACAAAGAAACAGCACCAACACAGCAAACTAAATGAAGACGATTAACTGAATTCACAACTTCAGCAAACCACAACAGGATCATCGACTCACTTTATTAAAAAACTTAACATAACAACCCAAATCCTCAAATCCGTTGAATTCCCTTGCATAATCTCACCATTTAACCATTCCATCATAAAACAAAATCCAACAAATCAATGCACCCTAATCCTGAAAAAAGCCACATCTAACACGATACACACACACACACTCTATTTCAATTTCATACGACTTGTTTACTTGACACAGTTTAACATACTAATTTAACATAACATATACATTACATCAGCATTAACATATATTTAGTAGAATGACACAAAAACATATTTTTTCTTTAAAACAAGTTTGGGGGTAGGGTAAGGGGAAAACGGGAAAGAGATTACTAGGTGAGGAATCGAACCCTCACCAACAAACTAATAATTCAGGTAGCCAATCAACTGAACTACTAACATTCCCGATGTAACACATAATCAACAAGCTAAAAAAACACCCATATAAAAATGAACACAAAATGCATTCATCCACCATTTTTTTTCACCAATTCTTCAACAGTTACATAAACCAAAAATAAATAAATTGAAACCCAGATTAGAAATGCAGCTAATCAACGAGTTAAACAAACACCCATATAGAAATTCACACAATAAATGCATTCATCCACCATTTTTTCACCAAAAAAATCGAAAATTTCGACGAAATGCCAATGAAAAAAGGATAGCTATACCTTCTTACAAGTGAGGGGAGATGCTAAAAAATACACACAATCAGTAAACCGCTTCTGAAATTCTTCCTCCATTGTTTTCTCCCAAAAAAAAAACAGACGAACAAAAAAAGAAAATTTTCAAAATTCTGAATGCATTGAGGTTCTATAACTCGATCAAATTCCAAACCCTCAACAATGAATGTGTACCTATATATATATGTACATATACCTATAGATACACATATACATACAACAACTGTATAGGGTGGAGTGGGGTGGGGGTGGTAGGGTATGAAGGTGATGATGATGCTCAAAATTTTTATAGAAGCTAACGCTTTCTGGGTTTTTTTGTTTTTTGTTTTATAAGTTGCATTGTTTGCAATATAGGTCCTTGTATTTTTGGACATGTTGCATTACTCTCCCTTAGTTTTTATTTTTATTTTAACCTATTTTGAAAAACTACTGATAACTACTACTTCGATTAGTTCCAGTTTGTATCGCATAAATATTAGGTTAGAAATAGAGATTTTTTATGTTAAAGGACTTGTAAGTAAATAAGCTTAATTAAGTTTGACGGTATATTTTAGATTAGATTTTTAAATTTTTTCTTTAAATGTATGTTTTGACTATAAAATTTTAGATTAGATTGTAAAATTTTATTCTTAAATGCATTTTTGACTAAATTTTTTGAATTTAATTTATTTTTGACTAAAATTTTGGATCAAAATTTTAAATAATTATCTTTAAATGTATGTTTGCTTATAGATTTTGAATCATTTTTTTTTAAAAATTTTATCTTTTAAAAAGATATTCGAGTTACTCGTTTTTAGGTTTTTGAACTTTAGTAAATCTTAGTAGGTCAGTTGGTTGACTACTTGAATTTTCATTTTGTTGGTGAGGGTTCGATCCCCCGACTTGTAATCTTTTACCCCATTTTTTTTAAAAAAAGTTTTGATTTTTTCACTCACAAAACTTCATTTTATCACAAGTAAAATGCATGTCACGCACAATTTTAAGTTTCAAAAATCACAACTTCAAAAATTCAAGTTTTCTACTTTTAAATTTCAACTTCAAACTCTATGACAAATGAAAGATTATTTGGCAACCAATCAACTGATTAATTATATATACTATAATTGCAGATTATGTGCGATAAATTTTATGATTTTTTGGTTATGATTTGTGCTTTTTTGTCATGTTTCCGTTTTTCCCCTTTTAAAAAAATTTAATTATTGATAAATTATTTGATTCAATTAATCCAGATTCATATTAACTTGATTCAATGCACGATCATTTAAACTAAGATTTTTTTTTAAAGTTTGAATCACTTATTATTTTTTGGGGTGGGTGGTTATGATCAAAAGCAACATATATAGAAGGTTTTACCTTCAATTTATTCAAATTATTTTTTACTAAATATAAGATTTCGTTATATATCGTATTCAAAAAATTTAGAATTGATATCATAAACACATAGTCAATATTCATTTTGATTTAATTTAAAAAGATAGTAAGATGTTCTCATACGTGAATCGGTGAATGTGGGTGTAACAACATTATATTTAGCCTAATGTAAATTTTCAAACATATTTTTGTACAAATTTGGTACAAAAAAAACTGATCCAAAGCTAATGAGCTTAAAAAGGTAAAATAATTATAATAATATATTATTATTTAAAAGTTTCACATGAACAAAAATATTTATGTGACAATAGGTGAACACCAATTAAACACATTAAATTGAGAGGATCTTGAGATATTATGTCAAGAAAAACATTATTCGACACTTTGATAATACAAAAATTATGTTGTTCGAATTCTTAAAAAAAAAATACCTATATAGGAATATTAAATCTTTCGGCATATAGGTGTAACAATATTTTCAAGATGTCCATGCAACATATATCATAAAAGAACCAAAAAAGATGCCCCCAAAAATTGTTTACTCAATAATTCTATTTAATACAAATTAAATATTCTTTTATGCTTATGACTTATGAGGATACCTTTTGTTATAGTATCATGAATATTATTTAATAATCTTATTCTATTCTACAACTTTTTAGATAAGAATAATATATAAAACCATTCAATAAATCCATTATACTCTTGAAGTGCTTCTTTAATTTTATTAAGTTTTTTACTACATTTTTTCTTACCATTTAATTTTTTTTCTTGATTGGAGAAAAAAATAAAGCAAATTTAAGGAATAGAATCCTCATAATTAGACAGATTTACTAATAAGAACTTTTCCAAATAATTGATTATTCCTACATGGAAATGTATTAGTAGACTATGTTGGGGCACTATCGAGGGTTGTGGTGGTATGAATATGTTCTCTTCAACCTTAATGGTCTCGAGTTTGAGGTAATTTGGGTATGGAAAAAATCTTAGTAGGAAACACTTTCACCTTTAATGAGTCTTACGTGACTCACACGAATCTGGACTAGTCGAGATTGGAATGGAGATACCAGAAATCGGTTGGAACAAGAAAAAAACACTATTATATTGAAGCTAGGCATGAATCTTGGATTTGAATTTGATGAATTAGATAATATTGAAACTATTGTATTTATTGATCAAATTTTAATATTTGTTGATATTTTCATGTGCATATTTATGGTTTGTCTAAAATCATTCGTGAATAACGTAGTTTTTTTTCCTAATTTTAAGGGGAAACGGGGAGGGGATTACAATGTGGGAAATTGAAACCTCACAAATAAGATGTGAGTTCAGGTAACCAACCAACTGAGCTACTAAAATTCCCCTCCTAATATCGTTATATGTGCTCATAAAAGCATAGCATCAAGTTCTTATCTATGTTATAATTGAGAGTTGATGCTTAAAATGAACTAATTTTGTTCCCTTAGAATGAAACTATTCATTAAGATTCTATGAATCCAATATCTAATCCTTAGTGTTGTTTCTCCTATTTTTTATGTTGCCGCACTCGTATCGTCGGATCCTATAAAAATATATTTGTTTGTCCTGTTTTGACTTGACACGAAGTTTAAGAAAGTTAAACAAGACAGAGAATCTTGTTGTCTTAAACTAAAAATATGTCAAATATACCAAAACCAAACATTTTTTTTAAATGGACTACAAAGGACAAACAGATTGATACTGAGGGAGTACTGCTTTTGGAGGATCCCATCGATACTTTTGAAGAGTCCGCGAGCAACATAGCTTTTGCTTTCTTTATAGGCCTAAACAACATTGATTGATTGTCAAGATTACATAATAATTGACAGTCAGAAAGAAAACAAAATCTGAAGGAATTTCATTCATTAGAACACATTGTGTAACAGTGCCACAGTTACAATGTAGTTAGGAATTAAGGTCTCTGAAGGTAAATCTTCAATAAAAACTTAATGTCGCCGCGTCCCTCAATACAACTCACTTTCTCTCATGTCACCTCCTGAAAAAACAGAACAGGATGTTAGTAAATGAAAAATGGCGTTGGAAAGTAAAACGTCGATTAAGGCAGATGTCTCACCAGAATCCTTAGGTGTCTTGCACTTATAACATTCAGCTCTACTGGCATAGTTGTGCATACCACAGCCTATTCTGTAGATCAAGAAGGAAGTTGTGTGAGTTAAATATGCTCGTAGTAAATATCGAGGACTTCTAGTACTTTTTATTTTTGGTATTCACTTTTGGTTTATATAACATAGGACTGCGATGTGAAGGGGAGCTTTGGTGCAACAGTAACATTATCCGTAATGTGACTAGGACGTCATGAGTTCAATCTGTGGAAGGTGAGGCTGCATACATAAGACTCTATAGACTATATGGCTTGGCCATTTACTGGATCCTGCGGATCGTGGGAGCTTAATGCAGGGGTCTATACCTTATAATATTGGATTAAGATGAACTTAAGTGGAGCGATATGGAAAATGAGGATTCATATAGCCGATCAAATTTGTTGTCGTAGAGTAAGTCACTTGCATGGAAAATGAAAAATGTGAAACTAACCTGGTGCAAATCCAATCACCACTCTTCCAACCAGGAAGAACACTTGAATCATATCCATAACCTGCTGGTGCCATCATTCCTGTGCCAATACCATAATAATCACTTTTTACGGAACCACATCGATAGCAACTTGTTCTGCTTGCATAGTTGTGAGAACCACAGTTCATACCACTACAATACCAATCTCCAGCAAGAACATCTGTTTTGTTTAGTCCATACATTGCAACGTCAGCTGACGTTGCATATTTAGGACAGCTACATCGTTGGCATCCATCCCGTTTCTTGAAATTTACGTGCTGGCATGAAGCACACATCCAATCTCCTTCCCTGTTCATTTTCTGTCCTTGAAACCTGAATTCAGCAAACATGAAAACATCAAATCTTAAAGGCTTAAGTTTTTCGAAAAACTTTCATGAAAGACAGAAGCTTTTTTATGTAGAAGCCGGAAGAATATGAAATTGATTCTTACCAAAGATAATGAAATGAACTACACAAGGAAAAACACATTATGAATGCCTCACCTTAAGAAAAGTTACAGATTAGACAAACTGAGCTTCTCGACTAGACGTAAAAACTTGAAGATCAAGAAATGGTTTGCTGAAGCTGATAAATTTTGATGAATGATTTAGAGAGGTTTATATAGTTGCAATAAGTCAATAACTCATTATTGGGGCCCAAAAAAGTTTCCTTTTTTATCTGTTTTGAATTATAGACAGTTTCCTTAAATGGGATCCACAACCACATGATGATGTTTATAAATATTGAAGAAATTTTTTGGATAAAACCTTGAAGAGTTTGACAAATGCATATGATGCTAACATCTCTTTTTTCCTAAATATTCTTCAATAATTTGAAAAAAATAGGGAATAGAATCCTAAAACAGACTTAAAAATTTGATTTTTAAACAGAAAAATTGACTTTTTATTGACAAAGATATTGATTAAGAATAGGTTCTGGCTGTTTGGACACTAGGAGATATGCCATGGAATTGAAACAACTTCACATGAACTAAGACACTTGTCTACCATTAAAAAGGGAATATAATTAATTTTGCATGGAATGTGAACCTTTTCCAAAATAATGGATTATTCCTACATGGAAATGTAGGAGTAGACTTTTTTGGAGCCACGGGCGGATTCAAGATTTAGACTTGATAAGTTTTATCTTTAAGGTACTTATTGTTGAACACATTGCATTTTTGTAGTTATTGGTTTGAAATATAATGTTTGTTGACGTTCTTCGTGATTTTTCACTTGTATATTTGTTAGTGTGGTGGTGGTGGATCTGAAATTTAGATAGTGAGTTCTGAAATGTATATCTAACTCTAGACGTACTTGTCTTACGTGTCCACAAATGCGCACACATATATATATATATATAGACTCGATACGAAAGCACCTGCAGGTTCTATTGAAAATGCTAATCTGTGGTTGAATTTGTACTCATTGCTCCACTCACCCCTAACCCCTCATCTCTTGTTTGTGGTTGAATTCGCGACTGTTCTTTTCACGCCCCCTCCCCCACAATCCCTAAGATGGATAATGTTATAGAAATAATGTAACAAGAATCAATTCCATATTCTTATTCAGTAACTCAATAACTCTAATAGAAACAACCACTCGAGTTTTTCCTTATCTGAATGAGTCTTGTATTAAAATACGATTTTATATTGAGCTCTAAATATAAGTATGTAGATGGTCCTGCTGGTTAATGTACATGATCCCGTTTATTTTCTCTCTAATGAAGCCAAGCTTACTGCTAGCTTATCGGTCAAAATCCAAGCTTTATTAGTGTGATTTAGAATAGTTCTTGGCTCATTCTTGTCTCTTAAGTTGCAACGAACTTACGAACCCTCAAATGGGGTTTCCACTAATTAGTTGCATTGAAATTATTGTTATTATCTGTTGTTTCTTGTACTTCCGTTACTTCTTTTTCTGGACTATTTGGACTTGTTTTTCCTTGAGCTGAGGGTCTATCATAAACAACTTCTGTAAGAGGGGGTCTATCTAGATACACGCTACCCTTTCCAGAACCCGATTTTGTAGTTGCATTGAAATTATATGCACTTAGCTCAACAATGATGCAATGACTAACTCGAAAATGTTTCCGATTAGTATGGTAATGGAAATGAGTTTGAGACTTGAAGGAAAGAATGAAAAGAGAAAAAGTGCAATTGGCTCACTAATAAAAGTAAAGCATCTGGTTCTTATCTGTGTATAATAATTGAGAGTTGGTGCTTAAAGGAACTAATTTTGTTCCTTCAGCGAGAAACCACTCAAATATTCTATGAATCTAATATCTGATCCTTATATAATTTCAACTTCCTTTTTTCTTGCTGTCAATTAAGTGATACATAATGTTTGGTGGACTGTTAAGTTTCGATAATATGATTCGTTGGAGCATCCGACTAAAAGCAGACGTTGAAAGACAGAAAGAATGGAAAATCTGAAGGGATTTCATTCATTAGAACACTTGCACAGTTACAATGCAGTTAGAAATTAAACCCTTCTTTGAGAAACTAATCTAAAGAAACAAACTTCATATTTCCGCGGCCCTCAATATAACTCACTTTCTCTCAGGTCACCTCCTGAGAAACAGAGAAATGAACAAGATGTTAGTGAATGAAAAATGATGTTGGAAAGTAAAACGTCGACTATGCAGTACCAGAATCATATGGCAGATGGCTCACCAAAATCTCTAGGTGTCTTGCATTTATAACATTCAGCTCTACTGGCATAGTTGTGCATACCACATCCTAATCTGTCGATCAAGAAGGAACAAGTCACGTAAAGATTGGACTTAAATGGAAGGACATGAATAATGAGGATTCATAAAGTCGATCCCTACTTGTTTGGAAATGAGGCGTAATATTTTTGTTATTGAATTAAAGAGAACTAACCTGCTGCAAATCCAATCACCACTTTTCCAACCAGGAATAGCACTTGCATCATATCCATAGCCTGCTGGTGCCATCATTCCTACCCCAATACCATAATAATCACTTTTTAAGGAAGCGCATCGATAACAGCTTGTTCTGCTTGCATAGTTGTGAGAACCACAATTCATGGCACTGCAATACCAATCTCCAGCAAGAACATCTGTTTTGCTTAGTCCATACATAGAAACATCAGCCGGTGTTGCGTATTTTGGGCAGCTGCATCGTTGACATGCATCTCGTTTCTTGAAATTTAGGTGCTGGCATGCAGAACACATCCAATCTCCTTCCCTACTCATGATCTTTTTTCTTGAAATCTGAACTAGTAAACATGAAAAGATTATGAGAAAAAAATCTTCATACAAGAAGCAAAATAGGAGATAGTAAGAGTTTAGTTCCAATCTGAGATAAAGAAATGAACTTCACCTAAATCAAATGAAGAATGGAGCTTCTCGACTACACGTAAATGTGAAGCTCAAGGAATGATTTGCTGGAGTTGGTAGATTTTGATGAATGGTTTGGGAGGTTTATATAGTTGAAAGATCTCACTATTGGGGCCCCAAAGTTTCCTATTTGATCTTTAGACAGTTTCCTTAAATGGGATCCACAAGATAGCACAAAAAAAATACTTGGATAAACCTTCCTTCTAGAGTGTACAGATATATGTCTTTCTTGTCAACTGTTAAATTCATGCATTTGATGCTAACATCTCACTTTTCCTAAATATTCTTAAATAATTTGAACTTTCTTTCGCGATTGAAAACAATATAGAAAATTTACGGAATAGAATCTTAATTAGACAGACTAAAACAGTGATTTTTTAAACGGAAATTGACTTTTATTGACAGAGATATTTGAAAGAAAGACATGGTTAACATGAATTGGTTCTGGCTGTCTGGACCACAGGAGATATGCCATGGAATTGAAACTGCTTCACATGAGCTGAGACACTTGTCTAAGTTTTCCGAAATAACAGATTATTCCTGCATGGAGATCTAGCAGTAGCCACAGGCGGATTCAGGATTTAAACTTGATAAGTAATTTATCTTTAAGGTTCTTATAGCTGAATCCGTTGCATTTTTGGAACTGTTGGTTTGAAGTATAATATTTGTTGACATGTTAGTGCTTTTTCACTTGTATATATATGGTTCGTCGTCTTGAAAATGATTAATGTATGGTACATTTGCCTCTGGTTGGGGTTACTTAATTCAACCACCTTGGGATGGAAATCAAGTGTGCGTCTTTCTCCTCAAAATCGATATGGATTGATCAGAACGAGTATTGTTTAGTATATGCATACATTTATTTTCATTCTTTTTATATAATTCGAGCAAAACATAGTTACATAGATCTGCCTCGTCTTCTCGTAATGAGGTTTGTACTCCCAAATGTGAATGTACTTCCATGGATATACACATCCTCATAGAGGAACTTTGAAATGCATATTTTGGAGCAATATCTGGAGTTTTTCCTTATCTGAATGAGTCTTGCATTAAAATATGATTTCTTATTGAGCTTCAAATATAAGATTACTCGTGCTGAGTGTGACCGTCTTATCTAAAAGCTTAAACTATTAGAGAGAGCAAATTTTTAATTACTTAATTATGTCTTCAACACCCCCTCACGTGCGAACTTGATTCCTTTTCATGGACTAAACACGTGAGAATTCTTTTTGATAATGGATAGCAGTGAGACTCGAAGTCAAGACCTCTGTCTGCTAATGATACCATGTTGAAATGTGTGATCATCTTATTTAAAAGCTTAAGTTGTTATACAGAACATACTTTTAATTACTTTATTACGTCTTCAACTACTCCTACTGTTTATCTCACCCTAAAAGTATGTATATCGGTCCTTTTGTTTGCACTTTGATGTAGCCAAGCATAATGCTAGATCGATTATTGGCCTAAAGCCAAGCCTTAGAAGTTCTTGGCTCATTTTTTTTCTCGTAAGTTGCATTGAAAATGTTGCAGATTAGTATGGAAATGAGTTTTGAGACTTGATGAAAAGAAAAGAAGAGAAAAGGTGGAATTTGAGTTAACGTCATTGGCTCACTTATAAAAGTTAAGTATCAGATTCTTATCTCTGTAATAATTGAGAGTTGATGCTTAAAGGAACTAATTTAGTTCTGTGAATCTAATATCTGATCCTTCTGTACATATGTGAAACATAACCCTTCACATTTATTAAAGCTACATAATACTCCCTGTGTTTCAATTTGCTTGTATGGTTTTGACTTGACACAGAGATTACAAAAGTACATAAGACTTTTGAATCTTGTGGTGTTTAACTAAAGATATGTAGAATGTATCGAAATGTCATTTAATCTTGCGGTCTTAAACATTGTCATGTGGAAAGTAAGAATTAAAGAGTTGCCAAAATAAGAAAGATACATTTTTTCTATTAAACAGACTTATAAAGGAAAGTAAGACAAACAAATTGAAACGGAGAGCGTATTATCATTGGACCACACAACAAAAACAGTTTTTGAAACTTGAAAGAAAGGAAGAATGCAAAATTTCATGTGAACTAACATGCTGCAAATCTGACAGTGAACATGAAAAGATTATGTGAACAAACTTTCTATATGCATTATATGAACAGTTATGTCATTCTAGAAAGAAACTCCGCGGCACATTAAAC